ATCATAAATACACATGTATGTGTTTTTATGATGTTGGATTTGGAACCGGTTTCATGATCAAAATTCCACGACCCGGCTCAGTTTTCAAAGGATTAGGGTCTAAATTCAACACCTTGGGTCTCAGTATTCAACGTTGAAAAATAACCCTGGGTCAATTTTCAACCCGGGTCAAAATTCAACGTTACACCGGTCGACTTACTTTTGTTTTCCTCCCACTGGCATGTGCGCGTCGTTTGACTAATTTTAGGCGAGGTTACTCATGCCCAATATAACCAGCGTTTGCATGAAAGATAGACACTCTGATGAATTCCATGCAAAGGGAAAGCTGTTACAGATGCGCGGTTGAGACATTCAAGATAATGAGATTTTTTCGATTTTCACTTAGGGGGCGGGGAGTAATTGTCATGAGTTTCAATAACGAATGAATTATGAGATGGAATTTCGGTTACATTTTCTTTAAGGGACTCCGATCCTCAGCCAGGAAGGACAACTCTTTAATTCACAATTTAATTCAAAAGTTTCAAAATGAAGCTTGAAAATCAATTCTTTTCATGCAACAATTTTCATTATATACCTCTGAATGTATTTCAAGGTTCTTTGAAGTTCTCAGAAAGGTCTGATTAAAAGTCGAAATTTCTTTACCCCGTGAAAGCATGCATTACATATAATTATCAAGAAATTAATGTTCATTTTAATCTGACCATAGGTACCAATGTTTCATTACATAGTATGAAATTAGAAGTGATTTATGGAGCTTTGGAATAGCAGGGGAATCTTAATACACTTTGAATTGTAAAATGATAGAAGTAAATAAAAGAAAGAACATTATATGTATAAAAATTATGGATTTTTTCCTCAAAAGCATGGATACCTATGATTTTTATTTTTGAAATGTGTTTATTGGTCAAATTTGAATTGGAAAATGCATAGCAGGTGCTCTTATTTGCAATTCCTGAAAATATTTTCGAGTTTTACTAATTTTCTCTATATATGATTAACTTATTATTAACTCGAAAGATGAAGATTGAAGAATTATTATGCATGTTATGGGTAAAAACTTGTTACTTTGAAAATTCAGAGACATTTTTATGAGCATTTTCGATTAGTCAATGCTTGCTTTTCAGAACCTGAGGATCGGAGTGCCTTAAAGATGATTTGTAAAGTAAGATAGGGTTGCTGAAAAAAAAGATAAAAATGAATTTAATTCACCTCTAAAGTTTACCCTGCGTTTCTTTTTCTTCTCAGTATTTATGTCTAATAGATTTTGAGTTTGTTACCTTTTTTTTTTCTATTGATTTATTTATTTTTCACACTTTATAAATATTGCTTCTTTTATTTATTTTTTTTTTTCATTTTGGGGCTTAATCAATTTCTTTTTTATTTTATGCCCTTTTTGAAATTATTTAATTATGTTCTTTAATGTGTACCAAATTATTTTTTCATGGATAATTTCATTTAATAAATATTGGCGAAATAAATGAAAAAATAAGAAAAAAAACTTACCACAAACAGGCAGAGAATCGACTTAAAGAACATGACTATGGTTGCCTATATGAATCAGGTAGAGTGTCGCGTATTTTCACTATCTTTATAATCACCTGCAAAAAATGATTTGTCAATTCACTGCACAGCTGTATCATTCCTAATTGAGCCACTAAGCCTTTCTTAATCCTGTGTTTATTATCATGATTAAAATTATACATAATTTTAAATATTAAGTTGAAAAGGTAAATTTATTTCTAGAATTAATCCTTGTAGTTGGAAACATCTTGTCTGAATGTTTATAACAATTAACAGTTACATATACCTAATCAATAAGCATTGCTCACGTCGGATGTGACAAGTAAACTGGGCATGCTTTCCCCTCCCGCGTACCTGATCCTACCTCTAGAATTTCATTGGATTCGTATTTATGCTCTTTTTACAGAATTATTTCGAATGAAGATTTTTTTTTTAAATCGATCACTGTTATCTTCACTCCTTTCATCCCTACAACTCTTGAACTTCAAGGAGCTTGGGTGTAATGCATTGTTTACAAATTGTATTGTACCGGTATTTTAAATAGACCATTTGAAACTCTTAACCCCGTACATGTCATATACGCATTTCTTCGCATCTGACTTGAAAAATAAATATAATGTGAAAAAACATTCATAACCTCATTAATACTATAAATATCAGAACAAATCTTGCACCGTTGGAAAGATAAAACAATTACGATAACATGAAATACAGAAATTGTTTTTAAAGGTTGTACCAGTTAAACTTTGCACACTATTTTTGCGATTTTGCCATTATCAAAATCTATGCGGGGGTAGCACGTTATATGTAAAAATGCTAAATTTTGATGATTACCTCCCAACCCCACTCCATCCCCCTAAAATACTTAAAATTGGTTTTTAAAAAAATGTACAATATATCTATAATTTTCACCACAACAATGAAATATTTTCAATATATCTAACTAAGCAAAAAAAGGAAATAAACTCATTCATGAATAAATGGAATTTCCAGCATGACTATGGTGTATTTCCTTGCCATGGCAACTGAAATGATATTTATCATTTTCAGAATATATATGCATTGGTAAATCAAAAAATTACAAGAAATACTCAAAAAATGCATTGAAATCTTAATATCAGTTTGTTTAGAAATGCTTAAAATCTTTGCCATGGAAGAGGTTAAAGGATCAAAATATGGTTTGAAGCCGCGGCTGTGGTGTAGACCTAACTGTTTATTGTTATAAACATTCAGGCAAGATGTTTCCAACTTCAGAAATTAATTCTAGAAATTAATTGGCCTTTCCCACTAAACATTTAAAAATATGTATATTTTTGATTTGTATGATAAACGTTGAATAAAGAAGGGTTTAGTGGCTTATCAAATATTGATACAGCTGTGCAGTAAATTTACCAATCATATTTTGCTGGTAATTATAAAAATACAGAGTAAATGCAACACTTGACCTGAACCATAGTAAACTATAGTCATGTTCTTTAAGTCGATTCTCTGCCTGTTTCTGGTAAGTTTTTTGAAATTATTTTTATTTCATTTATATCCTCAAACTTTATTCAACTAAATTATTTTTAAAAAATAATTTAGTACATATTAAAAAAAATACATAATAATAGAATTTCAGAAAATAGAAAAATCAGTGTGTTTTTTTTATTTTTAGATCCAAAAATGAAAAAAAAATCATAAAAGAAGCAGAATTCAATTTTTTTAATAAATATCAATAGAAAACAAAACAAAACAAGGTCGTACATACACAATAGATAAGACATATTTATTATTGGAAAAGTAAAATAGTTATTTATCAATTGGAATATCTGTTAACTATTCACTAGTTGTGGTTATACTTTTGGTAAGTCGTTCGAGCAAGTTAAGATGATTATTTTTTTTTATACGTATTGCTATAGTAATAAATGTTCGCTAATCTTTTGTAGTGATAAATGTTCGCTAATCTATTGTCATAATTAAAAAATAGATTTTTCCTCATTTTCTTTTTAGGTATATCTGGTAGTATCTGCCATAGCAGCAGAGAATCCGTGGGAGAAGAAGGGTAAAACTAAAAATGATATATGAAATTAATCCTGTAATCCAACTGAATATTCATTAAAAGGGTTATTGTCAGAACAAATAAATATTATCCTAATTTTACATTGTCTTTCACTAATTAGCAATATTCAATTGCCAATCAGTAAATAACTAATTAACTTTTTTTTAATTTCAAATATAATTTTAAAAAAAAGTTCCTCGTGATATCTTTAAATTGCATCAGGAAGACGTGAATACTGCGTCCGTAATAGGAGAATTTGCTACAAAGGAAAGTTATGTACCAGACCAGACACGTCACGATATTGTAAATGTCGGTCCCGGTGGGGAGGACCAGATTGTCGTCAGAAATTAAGTAAGGGTTGTTGTATTATTACTTTGAAGCCATTTGTCACATTTAAGTATACAAGGATTTTTTTTTTTACATTATCAATTGTTCACAGGCAGCATGTTATTGGAGAGTCAGACAAGTTTTCCTTTGGGTACATATGTTTACTTTTACTTCAGATGTCTAAGAAATTAATTGTTTGACAAAAGAGATTATATAAACTTTTCCATCGTCAAATTTCCTTAAGTATTTAGTAATATTGTAAGCAAATCTAGACATCACGGAGTCATATTTTGGCTGCCCTCTTTAAAACTAATTGTTAGGCTTTTTAAAATAAATTTGACTAAATTTTCTAACTACTTGAACAATACATAGGAAGAATATGGAGATAACGAACAGTGTTATGTCAGCCTGACATGTTAACAGGGGATGTATACTCCTCCAAAGAATCCGATCTTATGCCCTCCTTAATCAGATTTGAATTATTCTTAGATATTATTTTAAAATCTATCAATATCCGTTCTACCGGTATTTCATTTTTACTACCATCAGGAAAATAATATTATTTTCAGTGAAATAACATTTAAGTTTCTACTAATGTGAAAGAAACTAAAGGAAATATTCATTTCTTTGCTTTCATAATCATTTATTTCTTTTAATCTTAATCTTTAATATTTGGTAAGATCATAATCTTGATCTTTTTTTAAAAATTATTTTAAGGTAAAGAACCTGCGTGTCAATCAATGCCGTGTCAAAATGGAGGGACGTGCACCAATACAGACAAGTCATACACGTGCACGTGTAACGAAGGTTGGACTGGGCAGGATTGTTCAAGTTAGTTTAATATGCCTCATGATGTAAATCTTTGAGGATTTTGTCACTTTAAAAATCCATAAAGGATAATACTTAACAAGTTACAGATTTTATGTAAACCTTTCATTTAACATTTTAATTTATGAGCATTTTCATACCAGGACATCTTTTCTCACTTACCAAAAAGAGGAATAATCATTTTCTGAAACAATCTAAGAACGTGTACTTTTTTCTTCAGTATGTTTTGTTTTTGTTTTTGTTTTTTTTTTTTTTTGAATCATATGAAAATCACTCTTTGCAGATTTTGAAGGCGTTTTTAATTACGAGTACGCATTGATGATCATGTTGAATCACTATTACGCATTCAACGAATCTTCACTGATTTACATGACAACAAATACCTCTGCAACCATAGAAATCTCGACCTCAAACAATCTAGAACCCTCTCTGAAGTCAGCCATTGATCGAACCTTGTTCTTTGCCTCGCAACTGAAAGTTGCCCTGCCACCTGAAATGCAAAGCGTCTCCTTCCAGAAAGAGTCAAAAGCCGTGAAAATTCGCTCAACTAAACCCCTTGCTGTTGTTCTCTTTGACAACAATTATTCACAATCCAACGACGGTACTCTGATTTCTCCAGTAGAAAAACTCAGCACTCGGTATTTGGTAGTTTCTTCTGAACCTCGTTTTGCCAAACATCCGGTTTACGCCAGTTTGTTTGGAGTAGCTGCATTGGAGGACGACACATTAGTGACGATAAACTTTAAATTGGGCAATAATTCAATGCCTCTAACTATCAACGGGCAAAACTACAGCGATTCAGACACCTTCGAAATCTCCCTGGAGAATTTGGAGACTCTACAAATGGAGCACAGCGCTGATCTCTCGGGGACCTTGGTCGAGTCTTCTAAACCTGTAGCAGTGTTTTCTGGAAACAGATGCAACATGTATACAGAATCGATCAGATGTAGTCATTTTCTTGAACAAATGACTCCGACAACAAACTGGGGAGATTTACATATTGTTCCTCCTGACTTTAATAGTGATGGAACACTCGTGAGCTTAATGACCGACCAGCCATCGGCTGAACCTACGGTCGTTAGCGTAGGTCGTTGGAGTACGCAATTAATACAAGTTCTTCCCAGAGTACCGTTTGTATTTCCTTTAAGAGCAAATGAATCAGCCCACATCACCGGCCGTGTGTTCGTTACCAGCTTTGTGAAAGGAAGTAAGAACAATCCAAATTCCAGTTCTCCATATATGGTTACAATTCCAGATATCATTCAGTCAAAGAGTCAGTATATAATCCCAATTCCTGAAGGTTACTTAACCAACTACGTCACGATTATGATCATAAGAGAAAACATAAAAGCTGATCTTCTTCTGAATGGGCAAGCTATAGACGAAGGAAAGATTCGGTTTGAAAGTGTGTTGCCGATAAATTTCTTCATGAGCTACACCATACTGACCTTGGAAGTCTCTCCTGGTATACTGAACATAACGAGCACTTCAGGATCAAGGTTCGGACTGGTTGTCTTTGGCTATCGGTATCTCGATTCCTACGGGTTTGCAGGCAACGTTCCTTCGCGTTACAATTGTTCCAGCAATAGTTTTTATAGTTGTGAATAAACGAAATTTCTTCATGTTATTATGAATATTAAAGTGATGTAAGTCATCATATGCACTTTGAGTTTTTTTTTAGTTTAAAACACCCTGACTAAATCCTTTCTTTTAAAATCCTTTTTTCTATAACATGTTTTATTTAGATCATGTCCCATACGCTTCGTCATTTGAAATAGAATATTTCAGTTTGAGGTAATAAATAGGCCATAAGAGTGAATAATAGCATGTACATTTTGTTGTACCACATTGACTTCGATGAGCATAGTTCACTGTTGTTAAATAAAAATATCGCTGAGTGTAATTGCATAAAAATAATTTAGAAATGGTAGTCTTAGAAATATAAAAAAAGATAATTTTTTCACAGATTTTTTTAATTTAAACTTGTCATCAAGTTTACTGTGAAATCACAAAAATGTTTGAGGGGTCAAATTTCATGGTTTTAGGAAAATATATTGGTTCATATGAATTTAATTTCGTGGTTGAAGAATTGTTCAGTAGAAAAATGTATGTTAAAAGCTACATTTCGTAGTGGACATACATTCTTGAGTCTCTTTATACCTTGAAAACAATGAAAATTATCCCCCACGAAAATTAGATATTTCACAGTATACTACTTTGCTTTTGAAAAAAAAATTGAAATTAATTTTAGACTTAAATTTTTCACTCACACTCAAGAAATATTTTGTAATATATGATTATGTTTTAAACTGATAATGTTTTAATATGTTCATGATTTAGGAAAAATGATTGCAAAAACAAGGCAAAGTCGGATTGGAACTTTAAATAAATTTTTAAAATATTTCAACACCTCCGCTGTTAGTTTTATCCAATTATTCTTTACCTCACAGGGGAAATAATTTTCTATTGATGAACAAAAGCGAGTCTGACTACTGATGAATAAGTTATATACAAGGGTAATAATAAAAATTAAATAAATTTCTTGTGTGCAATGCACATTGAAAACATGACTTAAAATATTAAACATGTAAGAAATTTTGCTAATTTTGAAACTCAAATTGACCATTTTTGCAAGTTACTTAACATTAACTAGAAAATTAATTATAGTGGTGGAATAGGATATTATACCTATAAATCAAAATTAGAAAGTTTAAATCATGTAAAGGTAAAGAAAAAATTTAAAATAAATTTAAAAGTTATGTTAATTAAATTCAATATTCAACGAGAACTATGACTGACTTATGGTATTATAAGAATTCAAAGTTTAAAATTTAAAGCCCTTTTCGCAAAAAATCTTAACTCAAAGATTAACATTTGACAATGCAATATTCTGTTTTAGAAAGATATTAATTTTTTCCTTAAAATATTATTTACAGTTTAATGAAGCATGTGAAGATAGTGAACAGTATTCAAGACCAAAAGTCCATCTAACAATACAAAATAGGAGCAGAGCAAACACGGACTTCCAAAACATTAGAGGTGGGATCAGGAACTAGAATGCGTGATAAACGCTTGATTGCAAAATCTATTCTTGAATGCTAGTAGAAAGTAGATCAATTTCCTTTTATTAGTTCGGAATTGTCCTGACGAACTGGATATTTACTTGTCCAATTAATCGATTATATATCAGTTTGAATATACATGTACATGTATGTACTTAATTGACAAGACTTTTGGTTTTTTTTTTAACGTATTCAGAAAATCAAAGGCAGTACATTTATAAATCAAATACTTCACGTGGCTGTTAACGTTGATTGCATCTGATCCAGTTTTTTTTATAAATCAATTCCATTCCTTTGTGTTTTGTGTCCTTTTTTTAATGGTAGTTTTCTTGTAATTAAAACTGAAATGCATCTACACTTTTGTTGCAATATGGATACAAAGCATCAGTTTGTCAACGAGGAAATCTTTTTAATACTAATTTCAGAATAATTGTATAGAGAATCACAATTGTTTAATTAAATTAGGTAATTTTGTTTATGACCTTTCACAAGATTATTAAGTAAAAATTTCGAATGCCGTCCTAAGTAAAGGAAGTTGACGATAGTTATCATTTCATCCTAATGTTTTGTTGGTAGATGCTAGTAACTTTTTACGTCTAAAATATCGAAATTTGAAAAGATGTGTCAGACTCTTTGGTATCATGGAACTCAAGCTTTGTGTGATATGGTTCTAAGTATCCTTTATTGTAAGTTTTCTGGTATATATCGAATCGTGGCAATAATTATCAGTCAGGATTTATCATGTATTAGTAATATGTCATCGATACAACTGAATGTCGAATGAAGGCAACAGTAAGTGTTTTATTCTTCTCATCTTCCTCTTATTTTATAATAAAATATAATAAAAATTCATTGCCCATTGCACATAAGAGGTTAAATTAACCTTTGAAGGTTGATATTCAGATGTTTATCTCAGTTACTAGTATTTGTAGACTTCTTCGCTTTTTCTCATCAATAGAGACCTGCATGTTTCTCTTGTGCGTGAAAACGTAATAGGATAAAGCTCCCATAGTTGAATTAATTTTTATTTATGTACGTATTTTAAAATTTATAATATCATTACATTCTGGGTGAAAAATTATTTTCAAGGACAATATTATTCTTCCAAATGTAAAAAGTATCATTTTGACCACAAGCTTAAGTCAAATGTCTATGAAAAATTATCAAGCATGATCGAGTTGATTTTCGTAAGTCTAAGACTATCATTTGTAAATAATTCCTATGGACTCTCACTAAGTTATATCTGTTATTAATGTTCAGAGAATTAGAAAAAGGTTAATATGAAAGTAAAACAGAATTTGCCATTCTACACTTTTATGCGCCTATCTATTTTCCGAAAACTTGATATACATGTGTAAATCAAAATCGAGTTGACAAAACGAATGGGACATGATTTTGAAAAAAAAAACATATGAAAAGGAATTTAAAAAAAAATTCAGTCGGAATGTTTTTAACTTAAAATAAAACGCACTGCGTTTGAAGATTTGCATCAGTTTAATATTCATGATAACATGAAGATTTCTTTTTCACAAAAATGAAAATGATTGTTGGAACAATTTTATTATCAAGGAACACTGTTGGCTGCAAATCCGTAGGAATCGAAATACCGATAGCCAAAGACCACCAGTCCGAACTTTGATCCTGAAGTGGACATTATGTCCAACATACCAGGAGAGACTTCCAAGGTCAGGATGGAGACATCATCATTGTATTCGAACCGAATCTTTCCTTCTTCTACCGCTTGCCCATTTAGACGAAGATAAGATTTTATGTTTCCTTCGGTCGTAATCGTGACGTAGTTGGTCAAGTAGCCTTCAGGGATTGGGATGAGATACTGACTCTTGGATTGAACAGTATTCGGAATCGTAACCATGTATGGAGAACCGGCATTGGGTTTGTTTATGTTTCCTTTCGCAAAGCTGGACACGAACACACGGCCGGAAATGAAAGCTGATTCGTTCGCCTTTAAAGAAAACTGATACGGTGCTCGGGGAAGAACGTTTATTGTTTGCGAACTATCACCTACTCTAATAGTTGTAGGTTCAGTCGATGACTGGTCGGTCATTAAGCTCACCAGAGTACCATCACTGCTGAAATCAGCTGGTACAATATATGAAGATCCCCAGTCCGCTGTCGGGATCATTTGTTCCAGAAAATGACTACATCTGATCGATTCTGGAAACATGTTGCATCTGTTTCCAGAAAACACTGCTACAGGTTTAGAAGACTCGACTAAGGTTCCCGAGAGATCGGTGCTATGTTCCATTTGCAGAGTCTCCAAATTGTTCAGGGATATTTCGAAGGTGTCTGAATCGCTGTAGTTTTGTCCGTTGATAGTCAGAGGCATTGAATTATTGCCCAGTTTAAAGTTTATCGTCACTAATGTTTCGTCCTCCAATGCAGCTACACCAAACAAACTGGCGTAAACCGGGTGTCTGGCAAAGCGAGGTTCAGAAGAAGCTACCAAATACCGAGTTTTGAGTTTTTTTACTGGAGAAATCAGAGTACCGTCGTTGGATTGTAAATAGTTGTTGTCAAAGAGAACAACAGAAAGGGGCTCTGTTGAGCGAATTTTCACTGCTTTTAACTCTTTCTGGAAGGAGATGCTTTGCATTTCAGGAGGCAGAGCAACTTTTAGTTCCGAGGCAAAAAACAAGGTTTGATCAATGGCTGTTTTCAGAGAGGGCTCTAGATTGTTTGAGGTCGAGATTTCTATGGTTGCTGAGGTACTCGTTGTCATGTAAATCAGTGAGGATTCAGTGGATGCGTAAAAGTGATTCAACATTATCATCAACGCGTACTCGTACTTAAAAACGCCATCAAAATCTGCAAGGAGTGAGTTAATTAAATTACTATTTTATTTTCATATGAATCAAAGACAACAGCAAACTGAGGAAAATGCTTATCTTTAAACAGTTAATGAAAAGATGTTAAATCTAACAATCATTACCTTTATAGCAGTTTTAGAGAAATGTTCAAGAGGTTTTTTTTTAACATTAGCCTTTATAAATCCAAATAACAATTTAGCATAACTAAGCACTGAAGTCAAAAACTGACATTGGCCAACGAAAATATATGGAGATAGTACTTAGTATTCAAGATCAAAAGTCCATAAAACAATACAGAATTGGTGCAGAGTAAACAGGGACCCCCGAAACATCAGAGGTGGGATCTGGACCCATGGAGGAGTGAGTCTCCCCTGCCGATCGGACACACCCGCCGTTTGCTCATTGTCGTGATCGGGACATAACGGAAAAAAATTGTCATCAATTCTGTATTTAGATAATTGAATAACAATTAGTATGATAAACGTCAGTCGGCGTTTGACTCATGATAAATTGTATTTCCTGAAAAGGTAATTGTATGGACCATAAAACATACGAAATAATGACTTGAAACGAGACTGCTGATATTCTTGTTTCATCAAATTGTTTCTCAACAATTCACCTCCCCTTAGAAATTGTTCGAATGTAGCGCGTACTCTTGCGTATTGAATCAACTGAAATACATAAACTCCTTATGCAGATATTGAAAGTATATTGCTGTCTAAGTAAGGGAATGTGACGATAGAAAAGTTTAAGTCATCATGTTTATTATATAGCTTGGTTGTTAGAGTACCATTAACGTCTTTTTCAAGTAAAATAACCAAATATGAAACAGATGTGTCAGACTCTTTGATATCTTTTACCTCAAGCTCAAAAGGATATATCGTATCGACATAAGAATGGAAGTTACCATTGTTCATTGACAATACCTCGTCGATATATCTAAATGTCGAGTTGAAAACCACAGCAAGTGTTTTCTTCTTTCCAACGTAGATTTTGGACAAATTCTGAATCATGTGAATAGAAAAAAAAGGTCTGCTAATAAGGGGGCACAGTTGGTACCCATGGGAATCCCAATAGCGACTTTGAGGACCTGCTCTCCAAACACAACAAAGTTGTTGTCAATCAGAAACTCAAGCATCTTTCTGATGTCAACTTCAGAGTACTTGTGTGTACAATCAGAATGTTTTCAGCAAAATGATTTTGCAAATGACCAATGAAAAGGTAAGTACATTTATGAGTTCCATTTTTATTTAAAAAGCAGTTGGCAATGATATATTTTTTTTAAAATCTGGACTTAATTTAATTTATCGTTGGAAATGGTTGTCTATAAAGTAGAAAAGTCGTACGTTTTTAAGCTGTTGATATTGGTAAAATCTTGTGCTTTTAAAATACAATTTATATAATGAGCCACAAACGAAAACAATGTTGTTATCTGATTTGTCAGCAGTCTAAACATTGGATGCAATTTAGTTTTACCAATAATATTTATAACAGTGAATTCAAATATTCACAAACCAGGTTGCTTTCTTAGCGTTATTTTCTGATCGTGTTTTTGATCTTAAAAACTTATATGATAATACTAAGTGGATGTAAGTATACATTTTAAGTGACACAATGCATGAAAATTTACATAATGAATCCCATTAATTAATATTACTTGAACAATCCTGTCCACTCCAACCTTCGTTACACGTGCACGTGTATGACGTGTCAGTATTGGTGCACGTCCCTCCATTTTGACACGGCATCGACTGGCACGCAGGAATTTTAACTTAAAAAGAATAAAAAGATTTCGTAAACAAATAAAAATTTTATCTCCACTTTGCGGCTCAATTTTAAACTTCAAATGTCATTCTAAAAATCTACTTTTGGATAATATAGTAACAATTCTAGAATAATGTAAAATATAAGACTCTACCCTCATTCTTGATCTCATCACTGCATGATTTGAAAAAAAAATAACTTACTTGAACAATCCTGTCCACTCCAACCTTCGTTACACGTGCACGTGTATGACGTGTCTGTATTGGTGCACGTCCCTCCATTTTGACACGGCATCGACTGACAAGGAAGTTCTTTACCTTCAAAAGAATTTTGATTTTTTATTAACGAATAAAGTTTACCACCGTGTAATACTAGTAAATATAAGATAAAGCACATGTATACTAGTACTCGAGTCCAAGTAGTCAAATTCGGTATCTAAAAAAACCCACAAAAAACAAAAGAGGTAACAATTGGTTTGAAACAGGTGAGTCAACGTTATTTTTTAACAAGAACATTATACGACCATGCTGATTTTAAAACAAGTTTGTTGAAATCCCTGTAAAATAAACCTATCTGTCAGTAGTTTGCATCGGTTTAAATATTGATTGTACTTGGAGCCTGCTTTGGGGCATCATATGCTATAGATAGGTGATATCGGGATACGAGATTTCATAATCAAGGAAAGATGACGATGAAAAAAAAATAGTCATCTTGCTTAATTAGTTGTTAGAAACATGTACCAAAAATTTAGAAACTCAAACGAAAATTTATTAAGCCATTTACTGTTTATTATTGTTTAGTTTAATTGACTATACCATTCCTTACGGACTAATCACGTCACCCTGATGCTTATTTTAGCAATAAGAGATAAGTATAATTTTCTCTGCCAATAAACCTTTTCTTTTAATGCTTCAATTCTACATGAGAATAGATAAATCTATTTATGTTGTGTTTACACAATTTGAATTTAATCAATGTTCAGTTGAATTATGGGATAATTTATTTGAATTTTAACCCTTCTTCCTCCAAGGATTCCTTGCTGTCGATATGACTGACACTACCACAAATACCTGAAAAAAGGAGGAAATAAGTTTCAATAACATGTATGACAATACGTTAGAGAAAATTTACCAGTATATCTCTTTCTTCTCCCCCATGGCACCTAATCCCACCTCTGATGTTTCGGAGAACCGTGTTTGCTCTGCTTCTATTTTGTATTGTTTAATGGACTTTTGAGCTTGAATACTGTTCATTTTTCCGTATATTTCATTTTTAAATTAATTACAAGAAAGACTTAGTACCTAGAATACATCGGTAAAAGCTAGATAGTTTACAAAAAACTCCTTAAAAATAAAATTACTTTTCCAATAACAATTTTATTTGTGTTTGAATGCCATTTTTGTTTTGGTTTTGCTACCTTACTAGTATTTTACTATTAATTTAATATTTTTACAATTTGCCTTTTTATTTTAAATCCAAACGTTTGAAATTAAGTATAGAAACCGATTTTTCTATTTTCATATTTCTTTTTCTGATATATTTGAACTAATTTCATTTTAAAAAATTAATGCCAAATAATTTTTTTTACAACTGATTTTATTTAAGTTAGATTAGAATGTTATAACTTACCATAAACAGGCGTAGAAACAACTTGAAGGACATGATTACGGCTCAAAGTGGAGTGTCATGATTATCCCATACTTTTATAATCACCAACAAAAAATAATTTGGTTAATATATTGCACAGCTGTATCAATCTGGAATGAGCCACGAAACCTAAAAAGATCACACCTTCCTTATGATAATTTAATTTTGCTAAATGTGAAAAAATAATATATTTTTGAATGATAAGTAGAAAAGGCCAATTATTTCTAGAATTATTTTTTGAAATTGGAAACATCTTGTCTCTGAATGTTTATAACGAAAAACAACACGGTATGCATCCGATTAATTGGTACCAAACTTTAAACTGATCCTTTGCAAGTTTTAAATGAACAATTTGAAAACAGTTCAATTTTTTAATCAAGGCACACATAAGTCGGACTCCTGGAAATTCCAGATATTCCAGAAGGGGGATCAGATGCCTCATGAACACTATATATGTTTTGTTCGAGTGAAGGGAAGTATATGAATGATGTTTTTCAGAAATGTTCGATTTTCATATAGAATGTGTTCAGATCCCCCTCCCCCTTTTTTGACAAATGAAACAGATTTCACGGTTACGTTTCTATCATTTAAGCGTTAAAGAAGAATGGAGACTTGACCCATTCATGTTCAACATTTATTTTTATGGCTCTAGTAAACACATTTTCCACTAAATATGTTCAACTGTCAACTTTGAAAAAAATATTGTCAAATGATAAGTCGTTCAATAAAATAAAAAACAGTACTAAAATGTTTTGAAGATGACATTACTGAGAACATGATTTTAGAAAATATAACTTTTCCGTGAATTTTGAAAATTGAGAAACATATTATCGGGGCGGGGAACAATATGTATAAAACAACTCAGTCAACAAAATACGATCCATGCAGGGACCGATTTTATTGGGAAATACTATCTAATATCTAATACATCAGTACATAAAATGAAACTGACAAAATAAATGGTTGTTTGCATGAAAAAAAAATTAACGCCCCATGTTAGGTTCGAACCAAAAACGTCTCGAGTCCAGTGCAGTGTACAGGTAGCCCAACTTACTGAGCTATCACCGCTACAAGCACCACAATAACACATTTGGATTTTGTTGGGAAAAGTTCGTTTTTCGTGGTCTCTGGGTCTTCTCTCCATCTTTTAAAAAAGTATACTCGTTTCTTTGAATTAAAATACACACAAATGACGTTTCAAAATCATGGCGAGAAGACCCAGAGATAGAATATTTTTAGAAAAACGTGTTTAAAAATGTACCATTTTGTACCAAATGTCTGATCTGGCCAATTTTCAAGTTATTTTTTAGCAAATCAAAGCTCAATTTCGGGAAAATATTTTCCTTTCCTGTTGCACAGGAACCCAATAAATAAAAAGAATGTTAAAATTTCATGTGACATGTCGAAAAAAAAGGTAGGGTTTCAATTAGGCTAATTTTTGGCCCATGATGAATTTCAAATTAATTCCTTTAATTATGTCTAGTAATGTTTCCTCTCTCATATTTTATAATTTATTTGCAAAACCAACCTATACTAGTCACGTGACCAAGGGAAATCTAAAGGGTCCCTCTAAAAGCGTCCAAGAGCGTTATGAAGATTTATTACTTGTAGAAGACTATTCATTGTGAAAAACTAAAGAAAGATTAACCATATATCATCAGGGAACATGGGACAGGGCTGAAGTAACACAAAAAGTTAACTAATTTAATATTTTTTGGAAAAAGAACTTCTGCAATTGTAGCCATAGGAATTCAATGGAAATTGTGTACGTTTTCTTATTAGACATCTTTGCTCCCTAAAATAACATAAAAAAGGTATGAAAAACAATCAGTTATAAATAAAGAAAAACTTTCAATATTACGATATATCATATAATGAGACAAATCATTTAATATATAACGGTGCTTGCGACCCATACATATTCTTACAAGTATAAAGTAGAAAAAAAGACCTCTACGCATTATAAGTAAGTACATCGATTTAATAGTACATGTATTTCGTTTAGATTGACACAAAGGAAGTGTAAAAATCTCTTATCAATAAATTGTATTCAATACTAAAAATATTTTTTTCGATAAAAATAACTGATTCTGTTAGTGTACACTGAACACAGGCATTAACCATAATTTATATGTACTTATTTTATTTTATTTATAGATATTGGATGCATAATCTAAGATGTGTCTTTCATCAAAATTCATTTTATATTCATTCATTTGAATTCTAAAGATATATACTTTGATTCCATGTCTTTACCCATTTTTGTGTGAAACGTATCTTAATTTTTTTTCAAAATGTTTTTGTAATCGCATGTACATGTGCCCCTTTGAACTTGCACAATTCACCCTTGATCAAGGTGTAAAGTATTAATTCTTATGTTCTTCCGTAAAAAGGATATGAACAGGACATGTTTGCACAGACAGATGGACGAGGTGATTCCTATACATACCCCCAAACTTTGTTGGTGGCGGGTATAATGATAAGACCACTTGTTATATGGGCAGTAGATTTAAGGCAAATCAAGGCACAAACTGCATCATCAACATCTTGTAAAATTCAAATTCACGTTAAGTTAAGTTGATAATTAAGTTGAAAGGAGCTGGTTACTAAAAACAGAAAAAATACATGTATTTAATCTGTGAAACGGCAACATACCCAAATCAAGAAACTTTGAACTTGATTTGCATTAAACAATTAATATTGTTTACTGTGAAACAATAATTCTGACCTTGGTTTTTATATATTGAAACTACCGTCTCTAGTGTCAAAGTTTTTGGTTTTCCTCACAGACACACAGGCATGTTATAATATAATCAAGTATTTTTCTTTCATGTTTAATATCATCGTATGATTTTAATACAGGTATAAAAGGACAAGCCAGTACTAAATAGTAAAACCCCACTCTGTTTGACTCTCATGAATCAATTTCACAATAACATGGCATACCTAAACGAAGAGTGTACTAAAATTTCAAGAATCTGCAATGAGTATTCGCTGAGAAAACCCTGACGGAAATTGGTACATACAAACACACAGATAAACAGAAAACTGACTTTGTATTCATACAAAAATAATTGCCACCCTTTGACCTGCAAAAGAACCCCAATCATCCATTATGAGTAGTTGCCGAAAATATGCGAAGAAAATTTGTTACAGACAGACACACAGACAGCCAGACAGAAATACAAGGGTAAAGAAGTATTCCCCAGAGCAAGGGTCGATTTCCTAGTAATCTCTTTGATTGACTGGACAATGTTATAAATGTGTATGATTCACTTTAAGTGTTTAAATAAAAAATAACCAGGACTCAACAGATTGCAAAATTTGCAAAGTCATTAGTATTTAAGTGTGTGTTGCATCGCGAACCACAACCATATTTCAGTATAATCTTTCTGTACATATAAGTAATTAATTATCAAATTATGGTTTTGGTTCAGAATGCAACACGTGGTGTACTAGAAGGTTAAACATCATAACCCTCCAACATTTTCCCATATACTCAATGTTAAAGCGGTTGAGGGTACCATACTTTGATCATTTATTCCAATATAATCCTAACTTTTTTCTCCCAAAATAAATACATAGCACAAAATTAGACATGTTGAAAATAATGGAAGTAAGTTTAAAATTGTTGGCAATCTAATTTCATTTTTCACAAAAAACATGGGCCAAAAAACAGCCTTGTGGAAACCTCTCCTTTCACTTTTCAATTACGCCTAGATTCCTGCCGAATGCAAATCAAAAGTGCCCTAGTTCTTTGATTCAGGTAGGGATAATAGTTACTTGGGAATGGACCTGCTCCATAAATTTTAATCGGGACGCCGACACCATGGGTGTAGCATAAGCTCGTCTCGACTTCATTTATTCGTATTTTTGGTGACTTGCAGTAATTTGAACAGGGAATGGGCCAGTGCATGCTATTTTCCATTTGAATAGTGAATTATGTTCTAACTTCTGGCCTGGGTGCCATAAAACTTAGATAAGCTCACTTTTGACCTCAGTCTCACTTTTACCAAAAAGCCCTGTTGGTAAAGGTAAGAAATAGTCCATATTATGATTCATAAAAAGAAATTAATTTCTGTATTTATAACCACTTCTATTGCCATCTAATGTACTTGTATTAACATACATTTAATGTTCTGTTAATGGATGAATGCTTATAATGTAGTCCTCATTTAGTTTCTTAATTTCTTGTTTACAGGTGGTTCTGCATTTAAAGAGAGACGGATCAGTAATACAGGGCTATTCTGTTAGTTTCACTGACCACTGCAACGTCATTTGTTATACCTTCAAAAATTTGTTCCTATACAAATCTTTACGAAGGAAAGTCTAACATTTCTAATGTTTGCTGAGCGAGCATATAAAAAACGATATTTGACCCCTTACATCACAGAATGGGTGGAGCTTAATCTCGTTTTTACTCTTTGGTGTTCAACAGTGACAGACCTGACGTTACATTATGGAAGACAGAACAAAATATATGTATGTCAAATAAAAAAGAAATGAAAGGTATAACAAAAGATTTATTGACTGAGTAGTCGAGCAAATAAATTTTGTTGACCCTCGAACCAAACTGTCTGCCTTTGGCCTATCGGCCCAGGCAGACAGTTCAATTCGTTTTTGCGTGGGTCTGACAAAATGCATGTTGCCTGACTACTCAGTCAATAAATGTATAAAATTGGAATTTTAACATGTACAGAAGTAAAACTGTCTTTGAAGTTAAATCGAATTATACTTAACATTTACAGTGTAGAAGTTGTTTTGAAAAAATAGCCCCAACCAATTCATGTGGGTTCTATCAAATCATATGGCATGCTACATAATTGAAATAACAGTATGTACACCACAGAAATACAGTTTTACACCTAGAGAATGTGATCCAATGTAGCACACTGTTGTTTCTCCAGTAAAGTAGTTTATTTCTTGTTCATAGAAACCAGACACAAATACTTTATTTACAAACATTTTATAACTTAAATAGTTTGACAATTAATAAATGAATTGAAAAAAACCAACTATCACATTCACATTTTAGACAAAAATAAGGTTAAAAGTG